AGAATACTTACTCAATGCCGAACGTTCATAGCACTACAGTTAAAAAGCCGAACGCTCACATCATAATCATACCAAGGCCGAACGACTAAAATTCCAACTTATAATATTAAATAAGACGAACGCTCACAATCAGATTTAAACCAAAACCGAACGCTCATTATGAGAATTAAACTATGACCGAACGCTCAAAATCCAAATCTAAGAATACCAACTAACGGCCGAACGCTCACAAGCCGAGAATACCTCATTGAAACCGAACGCTCAGAATTGCTAATACAGAAACAAGACCGAACGTCATTAATCCACTAGAAAACCGAACCTTTAAAATTTGAAACCCTAAGATCCCCATCAAAGACGAACGACTGCAAATCACTAGTACCAAAATACAGAACGCTCAAGATCACGTAAATATCAATTTGGGGACGAACTTCCTAAAATTCTACCATTCAGGTATTCATTTTAGGGACGAAACGTCTAATATATCACTGTAAACCGAAGCAACGAACGCTCGTTAACACAGAACCGACGCTCAGGTTATTTGGCCGACACTAATGGTCGAGCCATTTGACGAACGTCCAATTTGAAGCCAAATTGGACGGACGCGTCGTTTCTGCAAAATTCGTGCAGGATTGACGACCCAGAAACCCAGCAAACCAAAAACCCCAAAATCCACAATTTTTCATCCTTCATTCCCAGATTTGCATCAAACACAAATCTATCATCAATCAAACAAAAGATCTAGCCCCCTTACTCTTGAAGACTTCCTTTGTAAAAATCTTTGAATTCATAACTTCTCCAAGACGTGCAGCACCAAGGGTTCTTTCCTCCTCCAGCAACTTTGAACTTCCCTTCCCCTCACCAATTTGCAGCCAGAGTTTTCTCTCATGGCAGAACGCCAACACCCCCTTTATATCCCATGCGTGTTTGTACTTGTTGAATGGTTGCCAGCAAAGAGGAAGAAAAACTGGACGTTGACTCCCTTTATTTTCACATTTTTAAAAACAAAATCCACCCCTCCCTATGGCAGTGTGTCTCCCAGCATTAAATGCTTCCCCATCTCTTTTAAGAAAAACAAGGTCCTACATTCTCCCCAACAACAAAAAATTTTCGTCTCGGAAAATTTGGTGTATCGAAACAAAGTGGGATCAAATTTCTCTCATCTCATCCTCTAATTCCCAGGTGGAGTCGCCTATTTTACCATCCCAGATGACCTTGACGAGTTTGACAGTTCTCCCTCTAAGTTGTTTGTTTTGGCTCTCTTCCATCCTTACGGGTTGCACTTCCACCGATAAATCCTCTCTGACTTGCACATTTTCAACTTCAAGTATATGAGAAGAATCAGACACATATTTTCTCAGTGGGATACATGGAAAACCGGATGTAAGTTCGACCTAACTGAGGTGGCATGGCTGTTCATAAGCTACGGCCCTAACGTCGTAGGATTGATAGGGCCAAGAATATTTAGGAGAAAGACCACTTCCTAGCCGGATTGCTCTCCTACACCGGTATAGTTGGAGCCTCGGAGAAACCACATGGTCCCCAGCTACAAAACTCTAACGGTCTGCGCCTCTGATAAGCATAGGACTTCTGCCTGTTTGTGATGCTGGCATCCTTGTGCCTGTATAAGCTTCAATGGAGTAGGGGAGGAGGACTTTACAATAATGCGAACTAGCTCTGGTCCCGTTCAAAACTGCCTTATCCATCTGAACCACAAAGAGGTGTTTCTGTAGCGGCTGCCATATAACGCTTCAAACGGTGCCATGCCGATACTTGCCTGATAGCTGTTGTTGTAAGTGAACTCAACTAGCGGCAATATCTCATCCCATACCCCTAGGTGATCCAAAATGCAAGTCCTCAACAAATCTTCAAGCGATTGGATCGTCCGTTCAGACTGCCAATCCGTTGGGGATGATAAGCGAGCTCATATGAAGTTGCTTCCCATCTCACCTGAAGGGTTTGCCAAAACCTGGATGTGAACCTTGGGTCTCTGTCTGATACGATACTTGAAGGCACCCCATGTAACCTTACTATCTCCTTAATATACAATTGCGCCAACCTCGCCATAGACATTCTCAAATCAATTGCTAAGAAGTGAGCACTCTTGGTCAATCGGTCCACTATTACCCATATTGCATCATGTCTTCGGACAGTGCGTATGGCAAAGGGGTACCAAGTCCTCGCAATGCATCCCATTCCCTTTGGAATTTCGAATGTCGCAACAAACCGTCCCCCGGTCTTGAGTGTCGTCGTAGCCTTCTGACAAGTTTAAACATGACGCAACAAATGAGCTACATCTCTCTTCATACCGGACCACCAAAAAGACTCCTTGAGGTTCGTTGATACATTTTAGTCATGCAGGATGCATGTTAAAACGGATTTTATGACCCTCATCAAGGAGTAAACCTTTTCATTTCATGAATTAGGGATACAGGACCCTACCTTTGAACCTTAAGATACCATCAACCCACGGACCAAAATCTTTTCCTTGATCAGTTCAATCAAACTAGCGGAGTTTGAAGCTCAAACATCCTTCGATGCTCTTCCTTAATATGTCAACAGTCATTGACACCACCAAATTACTGATCTGATGCTGTCAGCTTCAAAATCTACCTGCAACCTCAAATCTATGAAGCTTTCTACCAACTCTAAAACTCTCTGACAATAAGGCTGAAATATGCACGACTTCCTGCTCAATGCATCTGCCACCACATTAGCCTCCCAGGGTGATAAAGAGATCAAAGTCAAAATCTTTAAGAAACTCATCCATCGACGTCTGACTATATTAAGTTCCTTTGATCAAAGAGGTATTTCAGGCTCTTATGATCACTAAAACCACCTGAATTGCGCACCATACAGGTAGTGTCTCCAATCTTCAAGGCCAAACACCACAGCTGCCAACTCTAAGTCATGAGTGGGATTTAGGGGATAATTCTTCTCATGAAACCTTGAGTGTCTTGATGCATAGCCACTACCTTCGTCTCATGCATTAGAACACACCCTAATCCATGGATGAGAGGAGCATCACAAAAAACCTCAAAAGGTTTACCCGTGTCAGGGATAACCAAAACTGGTGCACTAGTCAATCTGTTCTTTAGCTCTAGGAAGCTAGTCTCGCAACGATCTGTCCAAACAAAAGGTTGATCCTTCCTAGTGAGTTGTGTCAACGGCGCCACAATCCGGGAGAAATTCTTAATAAAACAGGCCGAGGGAATGATAGTAGCCTGCTAAACCACCAAAGCTCCTGACTTCTGTAACAGTATTTAATTCTCTTCTTTCGCTTCCTTAGTTCTGTAGTTCCTTTTTCTTCGGTCTCTCCCACTGAAAGTACTGCTTGCACTTAGCGGGATCAAAAACAATTCGCTCAGCTGAAATCACATGTCCAAGAAAAGGAACCTCTTCAATCCAACTCAAACTTGGACAATTTGGATACAATCTTCTTTCTATCAGCACTTCCAGCACTGGCCCTAAGGCTGATCTTCATGTTCTCCGAGTTTTAGAATAGACAAGTATTCATCTGAAACACCACCCCCACACTTGTCCACGAATGGCTAAAATTCGCATTCATATAGTCATGAATATGGCTGGTGGAGCATAGTCCCACCAAAAGGCATAACTACAACTCATAGTGGCCTACCTGGACCCCATGCGAACCTGAATGCCGTCTTCTGCCACATCATCGGCTTTCACTAAAAAATTTGATGGTAACCGACTCAAATCAATCTTGGAGAATACCGTAGCTCGTGCAATTGATCAGCAGATCACGATCCTCGGCACTGGAACTTGTTCTTGATCGTAACGAGTCGCTGTCGATAGCAACGCAAACCTTGAACACTACCAGCTTCTTCTTTACTAGCCAACACGGGCGCACCCCACGGTGAAGCACCTCGGTCGGATTAAAACTTGTTTCTCTAACAGTTCTTCAATCTGCTTCTTCAACTCAGCTAGCTCAGCTGGAGCCATCGATAAGGGGCTATAGACACTGGTCCTGTCCTGAGACCAGACTCAATAGAGAACTCCACTTCTCGCGGAGAGGGGTAAACCAGAACTTCTTCAGGGAGAAACATCCATGAATTCATTCACAACCAGAAGGGCTACCCTTGTTTCCAAAGAGATTAAAGAGTTAAATTAGTAGTCCCGTCCATAGAAACTGATTAGGAAGCAGCTGACCATGCGAAGTATCCTGCCTCAATACACCGAGCGATAATGACAGTATCATCTTCTTTGGGAAATATTAACCTCTTACCACGCCAATTAAAAGAATACGATTGGCTTTGCTAACCAATCCATTTCCCAGAAATTACTCTAGCTCCTGACCAGAAGAGGTAAAAAATAAGGTTACTTAGGAAACCTACGCCTTATACTCAATAGGACATCTAGAGCACACATTAGATGTCTTGACGAACCAGCTGATGGTGTAGGACACCACAAGATCACACGGACGCTCTCTGAAACTAAACCAAGCCCTCTCCACACAGCCTTAGACACAAAAGAAGTGTCGCCCCGAATCAACAACGTCATACACGAAGCTCCAAATAACAAACAAACTGTGACAATTTTAAATTACCTGCACTGGTTGCTTCAGTCCTAGGTCAACGCATATAGACTCTCCCGGTTGCCTGAGGTCTGTGCCCACCCCTCTGAATAGATCTGCCAGCCTGGCGTGGCTGTGGTCCTGCCCTCCTAGTAGTAGGACAGTCTCTAGCATAGTGTCCCTCTTGTCTGCAGATATTACACCTCTTATACCCTTCTAACTGAGGGCAAGACATCTGGAGGTGTGGTCCACCACACTTGAAGCACCTAACGGAACTGGCAAAACTGGATTGCCCCGATGACTGAGAGGAAGAACCCCTGAACCCGGAGTAAGAGGGTAGAGAAAGGGGTCTTTCTAGAACTGGATCCTCCCCGGGATATCACAGGTCCACCAACCCTAAGTGGCTGGTTCTGTTGTCTCTGAGGTCCCTCTGGTTCTCCCTTAGTCTTTTCCATATCACGGGCCATCTCTACCAAAGCGGAGAATTCTCTAATGCACAATCCTTTACTAGTAATATATCCTTCCTCAAGCCATTCTCAAACTTGCGACACTGCCATTCTTCATCTATGACATGGGATGTTGAAGCGAAGCAGTGTTTAAAACGATCTGCATACTCCGATACCGATCTGTTGCCCTGAGTCAACTCAAGAAACTCTACTTCCTTAGCAAACCTGACACTATTTGGGAAGTATTCAGTGTAGAATTTAGTTCTGAACAACTCCCAAGTGATAGGAGTCTCGTTCCTCTCCAAGATCATCTTCACACTGTTCCACCAATGTCCAGCTTCTCCTGTCAACAAGTACTGGGTGTAGGCTAGCTTCTTCTCATCCGGACACCCTTTGGCTTCATAGATTCGCTCCATATCTTGGAACCAATGATCGGCCTCATCTGGACTGCATTTGCCAGTAAACCTGTAGGGACGATGTTGGAGAAAACTCTCCAAACTCCACTCCTGAACTGGAATGATAGAAACATCGGGAGTAGGTCTTCCATTAACCATCATTTCCCTGAGGAACTTCTGAGTGTCTTCAGCTGACACTCTTGCAGCTTCTAGGTTTGAAGAGCGATGGTGTTTTGTGCCACAAAAGCAGCATTTGAAGTTGCATAGTCTTCAAGTACAGCCTCCAATCTACGGTTGTGTTCTCGAAAGGCTAAGGTGAGAAGGAGGAGGAGGTGGGGTCTAGGTGCCATCATTATGTTATACAGAGAAAACACCATAGTACAACCCAAGGAAGGAAAAAGGACAATCATCTAACAACAAGGTAAGAGTACACAGCACAAGCAGGGCAACATTACCCTTACATGTCCTTAATGACAGAAACTGCTCTGATACCATAAATGTAGTCCCAAATTATATACACATTCATATATATAAAGGACTCATCATGCATAATATAGGAAAGCAGTCAGAGTAATAAGGATTACAGTCATCCTCAGCATAGTCGGAATATTGACAAAAGGGTTTATAACTGGATGTCTCCTGAAAAACAGAGAGAATTTAAACTTAGAATAACACGAGTTTATTCCAAACATAGGACACAAAGAGAAACTAGCTAATCTAAGCTCCAGCACTCCGTCTCCATCAAGGGCTGCTTCCAAAAGTATCCTCTCCGTCATCGCTACCATCCAAGTGGATGATCATCGCCAAAGAAAACATACCAAACAGCACACAACAACAAACAATGAAGGGTGAGCTAGATATAAAAACCATGTTATACATAAATCACAGTTAATTCATGTAATCATTCATAGATCAATAAAAGAACAAGTAAAGCATACTCATTGATCCATATTTCACACACTCCATGACATGTAAACATTCATTCACACATGGTAAACTGACATCACAAAATTGTATTTATACGCACGATTGTTGCCTTTTTAGACGGCTCGTACGGGACAGAATGATTACAGAGCTATGGGGGTCTTGCACTCGTGGTGGCTTTATGAAACTTGGGCACTCCCGCCCTGGCACTACCGCCTTGTGAAACTTTAGGCACTACCGCCTGATGGATCTTTAGGCACTACCGCCTGGTGGAACTTTAGGCACTACCGCCTGATGGAACTTTAGGCATACCGGCCTGATGTTGTTGTGGTAACATTGGGACACTCCCGCCGGCCACAATCACGGGGTGGTTTTTAATACGTATTACTAACCTTGGATCATATGGACGCATCCAAGACTAGGACTCACGGCTACCTAACCACATGTTCAATCCTCTCTACATGAATATCTAGAACGAACTATTAAATACACTTCGGACCGTTGACGTGCTTAATCCATCAAGGAATATGATCCGAAACGCTTTTTATTAATTTATAATGACTCCAATACCGAACGATCACATCCAACCTGGCCGAACGTTCAAGAATTAACCTAAGAATACTAACAATGCCGAAGTTAATAATCATACAGAAAGCCGAACGCTCACATCATAATCATACCAAGGCCGAACGACTAAAATTCCAACTTATAATATTAAATAAGACGAACGCTCACAATCAGATTTAAACCAAAACCGAACGCTCATTATGAGAATTAAACTATGACCGAACGCTCAAAATCCAAATCTAAGAATACCAACTAACGGCCGAACGCTCACAAGCCGAGAATACCTCATTGAAAACCGAACGCTCAGAATTGCTAATACAGAAACAAGACAGAACGCTCATTAATCTACTTAAAACGAACCTTTAAATTTGAAACCTAAGATCCCCATCAAAGACGAAAGACTGCAAATCACTAATACCAAATACCGAGACTTCAAGATCACGTAAATATCAATTTGGGGACGAACTCCTAAAATTTCTAATTCCTGTATCAGTTGGGACGACAAAAAAAAAAAAACGTCTAATATATCAACTGTAAACACGAACGAACGACTCGTTAAAACAGAACGAACGCCTGGTTATTTGGGTGACACCTAATTGGCGAGCCATTTGGTGACGAAAGTCCCCATTGAAGCCAATTGGACGACGCGCGTGTCTGCCCCAAAATCTGCAGGATTGCGAACCCAGAAACCCAGAAAACCAGAAACCCCGAAATCCCAATTTTTCATCCCTTCCTTCCCAGATTTGCATCAAACACAACATATATCATCAATCAAACAAAAGATCTAGCTCCCCTTACTCTTGAAGACTTCCTTTGTAAAATCTGTGAAATATAACTTCTCAAGACTTGCAAGCACCAGGTTTCTTTCCTCCGCCAACAACTGGGAATTACTTCCCTCACCAATTTGCAGCCAGAGTTTCTCTCATTGCGAACCAAACACCCCCTGATATCCCATGCGTGTTTGTTGCACTTGTTGAATGGTGCCAGACAAAAGAGGAAGAAAAAATGGACGTTTGACTTACCCTATTGTCCACATCAAACAAATCCAAACCCTCCCTATGGAGCTAGGTCTCCCAGCATTTAATGCGTCCCCATCTTTTTAAGAAAAAAACAAGGTACTTACACTATGACTTCTTTAGCCATTAAATTTGTGGATTGATGGCCTTGATATAAACCACTAGATGAGAGGTGGGAGAGTTGGCCTCTGAAGCTTTCGAGTGGGGGAATTACCTGATAACTCTCTAGTTGAGTGGTTGGGAAAAGTAACATGTAAATGATCGGAAGTGTACGTGCGTGGAGAAGGCCTTTTTTTTTTTTTTTTTTCTTGATAGAGTGCTGGGAAGGGACACGATTTTTAATACTTGGCAATGAAACTATTGAATAGGAGTGGGGGAAGGGCATATTGCACAAGTTTGTGCTATGACATGTTTTGAGGACCCATTAAATTCTTTATATCTATGGAGTGTTATTGCAAGTATTAGCGGATTAATTAGTTCTAACCAAAACTATATTTTAATGGTCATAGGATGGATTTAACTTATGTGCATAAGTGGTTTATTTAAATGAGTAGGTTGTTGTCGTAATGATACGGTATGATAGTGGAAGTTAGTTAGTTTAAATTCGGCCTTATGAGATTAAAATAAGTGTTTCCGATTTAGAATATTGTATTGAGTGATCGGTGAGTCTTATAGATATACGCAGTTGTTAGGTACTGCATACAGACAACAGTAAAGTTTGTGGATTTCATTATTAGGATAGGAGTGGGAAGGTATTTGGGATAAGGGGTTTATATTCCTAAGATTTAGAGTTTATAAGTTAAATTCTTGAAGAATGTTTTAAGTTAGGCTAGTAATGTTGGCTAGGAAAATAATTAGATGAAGATTGAAGTAATTTGGAAGTATAAATTGGAACGAAGCTTGATTATTCTAGTTTGTTAGTCTTTTAGAAGGTTTATCAGGGAACGAAAATAGTGGTATCAACATTTAGTATGGGTAAATAAAGGATGGATTAAGTATTTTAGGGATATAGACCAATGAACGTGAAGGATAGACATGTAGGTCTAGGGCTAGATAGAAGAATGGTTTGTCATGTTCCAATATGTTTTTAGAAGTTTATCGTCTTCAAGAATGGTAGTGATGGGTGAACATTAAGTGTAGTTAAGGGTGAAGGCAATATTACCGAGAATCAAATAAGTTCATCAAGGACGAAGAAGGAAATGATGCAATGATCTTAAGTATGGAAAGGTTTCTATGGATGTTATAAAGCATACTCAATATACATATTATTTTTGGACAAGTTCTTGTTAAGTGGGTATGGAAAAGAAAACATAAGGATGAATTGTTTAGTAATAGTGTTTTAGACTTCGTGTAATCATTAGAGTAATTATAAATTTTACGGAGAATAGAAGTAGAGGGTAAGGTGGAGCACAATGTATAATTTTGGCTCGAAATAAGTGGCTTTTGGCGGGGTTATTTATGATTTCTAGGAGGAACTGAGTTGAGAAAATATATGGACAGTTGTTACGGAAAAAAAGAATGATTCTTGCACTTTTGCACTCATGGAAGTCTTAAAAGGATCTATAAAGGACTCACTTCCTTGGTTATATAGTGGGTATGAAAAGTTTTCTCGAATCTTGTGATTAATAGTTTATGAGTGATGAGCTCTTTTAAAAATTAATGGATTATTTTGAGACTAGTGAGGTATGTTTAATGAGGTTGATGGGGCTAAAAGTGACAAGTAAGAAGGGCGTTCTGAGGTTTATGATTTTCATTTTTTCGTGAGTAGATTTCAATTTGAGATGATAGAAATTTATGCATAAAATAAGTAGAGAAATGATCAGGTTTATTGAGTGGTGATGAGACTTTTCAGTCGAATGCGTGCAAATGAGTATTAAAATAAAATTGTGTTGTGGTAGAATTTTTATATACTATGGTTTTGTTTTAGACAATGTTTTAATAAAATGGCATTTCTTAGGTATGTACATTTAGTATTTGTCATACGTTTAGTAGATAATGATGTAATTATACATGTGAAAAACAAAGAAAATTTTCAAACTTTAATTAGGTGTAGATGATGATTTTGAATATTGTGTCACTAATTACATGTGGGATTATGGAAACGGTTGTTGTTGTGATGGTTGATAGTATATGATTATTTGATAATTAAATGGATGTTATCTTGAAGTATAAATGGTCTAAGACATACGTGTTGTGGTTGAAAATAGAGATTTCAAGGGACAAATATGTGAGATTGAGGTTATTTGAAAAAGTAAAAAATTTCTAGTTGATATTTGTTCTGGTTGGAAGTTAATTAAAAAAAAATTGTCTAGAACCAAGGGTTAGTAATTGAGATTGGAGTACAAGTTGGAAAGTTTGTAAATTGAAGGTTTGAGTGATAGGTGATATGTGTCATAATTATTACTATGATGTTAGGTTGCAGAAATCAGGTGTGAAGCTAAGGGTGATTATTTTGGGTTGTTTTAGGTGATGAGATTTTGAATATTAGAAAAACTTTGCAAAAGGAGGAGATTAGGGAGATTGGAGTCTATGGTTAAGTTAGGTATGACGTAGGAATCTAGTAGGTAGAAGTAGTGTGTTGATTTGGGAAAGACCGTTAGGTTTGAGTTGGATAATGTTCTTGTGGGTGAGTTAAACCAC